AGTCTAAGCCCTGTGACAAAGCAATTGAAGCTTGAAAATGGTATTCTTGTCCGAAGATGGGAAACTAGAGATGGAAAAGTGACGACTTGGTAAACAGTTATACCGAGGAAGTTACGGGATGTTGTGCTTCTTCAGTCCCATGATAATTTAACTGGAGGACATCTCGGAATTAGGAAGACATTGAGTCATCTACGACAAAGATTTTACTGGATAGGTATGAGGCGAGATGTGGAAGAATGGTGCAGAACATGCAGTATATGTAGTGCTAAAAGGGGACCCAAGCATAACGGACGCCCACCTTATGAAGAGTTGCCTGAGAATGTGTCAGAATTCGTGAAAGTGTTATTGGAAAGGATGGATAATATTCACCATCAAGTACGTTCAAACTTGAAAACGTCTGCTGATTCGATGAAGTTAACTTATGATAAGAGATCTACTGAAGTAAGCTTTGTACCAGGACCCAAGGTATGGTTGTATAATCCCAGGAAGACCAAAGGAAAGTCTCTTAAGTTGTCTTCTCCATGGGAAGGCCCATATAACATATGTGGTCGGCGAGGTAAGCCAAAAGTGGTGCATGCCAACAGGCTTTGGCGTTATCACGGTCCATGACATTTCAGTTGGGACGAAGTGGACAACAGAACAAATGACGCTGCTGAAGACGTGCCATCTGAAGAAGCCACTGTCAAAGAAGAAACTCTACTCAGTTTTGAGAAGGGAAACGGTGAAGCTCTTGATGAAGTTACTACCACTGATGTGACTGTTACCGACGATAGGACATTTCTTGATGAAGCAAATGAACCCCATATGAAGCAGAAGCCAACGAGACGGAGACCAGTACGGAAGAAGAGACGTCCAGTGAAATTAAGAGACTTTGTTGAATTGTAATTTTGTGTTTGTAATTCTGTACATTTAATTAAGTTATTGTTAATTGTTATTGGTTTAATGTAAGTGGCTACTAAGGAGGGGCAGTGTTGCGTCAGCTAGATCACGTGACTAGTATCACGCCACCTCCTTCTAGAAATATCCTGTTCCTTCGTGAATTGTCGGGAGACTACTAGATTGGGGGTAGCCTGGTATATATAAGACGTTCACAACGTGACGGGACAACAATATGTGAGTAATTGAACTGCAGTCAGAGAGTGTGTAATTGAACTGAGTATTGTTGAAGTCGAGCACGTGAGACGTTCGTTGAAAATTATAGCGCAACTGTTGAAATTAAGTGTATCGCAAAGTTATATTCAGAAAGAATAAACCAGTTTTATTTAAGAAAGGACTTGTGTCGCTAAAGTTTCGTCGGAACGAATTTACGGAAAATTAACTAACGAACGGAGACGTAACAGTATGTTACTACCTTCCTCTTGAGAAGACTTAAAGACAAAAAAGTAAAAAAAAATGAAAGCGGCATGATCTTTCAATTATTCACGCTGTCAGCTTATTAGTATAAAACTGGGAATCTCAAACGCAATTTGCAATCCTTTGGAAGACTGTGTTTGATCATCTTCATTAAGTCACGCAAAATGATGAAGTGATTCCTAACAAAACACGAGAAAATAGTGTATAATAATCATATACTTGTAAATGATTCAAATCCGTTAACTATAAAGTATTACATTTCTACTTTTTTAAATATTTTATGTTTCATAACATATTTCCTTGTTCACAAAGATGTACTCATATTTTTTTTCGTAATTGTACAAATCAAATAATGGAAGTTAATAATATCACTAAAGCTAACTGAGACTGAAAATTATCTAGTAATTTTGACATAGTAAATGATGCTATTTCATCTTTAAAATGTTTAACTGTGCTTTTGTCCAGCTTGTTCTTTAAAGCAAGTGACTAAAACAATTGTAAACTTAAAGCAGCTGCTAAACTGTTACAGCTTCGGAAGTATTAAGGCGAGACCACAGCAAAAAGACTGGTTACTGCTCACGGCTTTCGTGCGCACTGGGTTGCTCGTAAACTGAGCTACTTAACAGCCTTTGTTGTGTGAATAGGATCATATGAGTACAGTGCTTGCAGTTCATGCGCCGACTTCCTCGCACAGCCATGACATACGAACAGTCTCTCACAAACATCACATGCTTAGCCAGTGAGGCTCAACTGCATCGCATGAAAAGGGCTTGATTTTTCCCCACACTACTATCGTTGCACTCTCTCCTGCATAACACCAGCCCATGTGCGAGTGAGAGCACAATAGGACTGCTCACGAAAAAAATATCACTGAAGAAACTCGTGAATCATTCCGGCGAGAGCATGCAGCTAAACTCCGCCATGGTAACAAACTCCTTCAGTGGAGAAGATCTTGTCGGGCGGCAAATTTTGGATTTAGATTGTACAGAAAGTCCTAGAGTTGACAAGTGCCGAATGCACCAGGAGTCGCTGCTTAGAATAAAATATACTCACAACGATAAAGTGATACGATTGTGTGTTTTTGAATGGCTAGTAACTCTATTTGTTTGTTTCACCTTGGTGTTCTCAGCCTGTGAAGCTTGGCCCACTAAGCAGCGGACGTCTTTATCAGAAGTTCAAATTGTAGTAAGTAACTTGTAAAGTGTCTGTAATATAGGGTTTTCATTCCCATTTTACCTTGTTCATCTGTTTGTAATATTGGTTTTTCTCGGAACTTAAAGTTATAAAATATCATACATTTTATCAAATTGAGTAACGAGTTTTAACTAAGACTTTATTGTACCATATTTTTGATAAGCACACTGATGTTATATGTCAAAACTCTTGATATTACAGGAAATACGTTACTCTTGAATTTTAGAGTCACTGCTAGATATAATTTTCAAACGTTTTGTATTATAAATTGCACAAACCATTACATATATATAACAAAGTACCGTAAATTTCCAAATTAAACACCTAAAGACTTAGTGAAGCATCAGTCAGTCTGGGCTCTAAGCCTATCGATTGTGGTGTTGCTAGGCGACGAGTAAGCATTAATTAATAAGACCGTCTTAGTTGGCTGCTTCGATAACGTTCACCGTTTTTATAATTCATATTAACTAAAGGTTACAGCTAATTTAAAAATAATTCGTTTTCATTACTTATGCCCCAATTATGTTCTTATAGACCACGACATTTTTTAAAAATTAATTTCACACTTCTAAATATTGAGATAATAAGGACCAAACAATACGATCATGTTACTATATATTTATAATATTCACGTGGAAATTTGACGATTTGATCTTTCGTGCTATGTCGTGACTCATAATTAAAAGTCATGTAAAAAGGAGTTAGGGAATAAATTCTGGTGGATTTCCCAATTTGTTTTTAACATCCATGCGTGAATATGCTATAATTAATATTCAATTCTTTATAAAATACCTCAGTCCACTAACTGTCAGCTGTTAATTGGAGGGTTACACGTTACAACTTTTCAGCTTTTAAACTGGCAGAGCATGAAATTAAGAGATAAGTTGACTTAAAAGTCGCACTTGTTGGACAAAATAATAATAGTGTATTACATCTAATCATAGGTTGCAATAAAACACATTACTTCTTGACGTGAAACGTTTATGTCAAGTAATGAATACACTGGTTAGGAACAAAAAAGTTATTTAACATTTTCATCATCATCATGAGTGAAATCTGAAATGTGATGATAACTTAGTTCGGATGAAACCAAGTCAAATAATATTTGAAAAAGTTAATTAAAATTCTGCGTTGTAGTTTCTTTCAATATAATGTAAAAAAAAATTATTATTATTATTATTACTACATAACAAATACTAAATTCTGTATTTTGGCTCGTAGATTACTGAACGAGTAAAGTTAATATTGGTTCAAGTTATCCTTTCTTTTTTGTGAGGACGAATGTATGTCACTCTACAGACAACATGCCAATTTTAAGATGACCTATTGTCGATGATTTTATATTTACTCTATATTACTTGCTATTAGATAATGACACTGTAGTAGAACTTGATTTGGGGTTTTGCAACTTTTCATTTCGCTTATTTAAGTAACGTCACAAGATTGACAAGTCTTTTAAGTTCTCAAACCCCGAGTTGCAAGGACGCCATTGTTGTCAGTTGACTTAGCTATCACTATAACGACCTAGGGTAGCTAACTCAGGCAGTAGGTTTTTGAAGGTTGTGGACAGTGATATCTTGTTCAGGATGTGGGTTGAAGGTTGATATTGTGTCATCTTGTTCAGGGCATGGGTTGAAGGCTGTAACAATCATGCAATCTATGACCTGAACTAGATATGATTGTTACAGCCTTCAACCCATGCTCTGAACTAGATAGGCTGTTATAGTGATAGCTTTTGCAGGATGTAGATTGAAGGTTCTGACAGTAATATATAGTTAAGGACGTAAGTTGGAGATCGTTATGGTGATATCTTGTTCAGGGCATAGTTGGAGATTGTTATAGTGATATCTTGTTCAGGGCATAGTTGGAGATTGTTATAATGATATCTTGTTTAGGTCTTGGGTTGTTGCAGGCTGTTATAGTAATATCTACTTCAGACTATATGTTGCAGGGTTTTATAGTGATATCTTGTTCAGGTCATAGTTGGAGATTGTTATAGTGATATCTTGTTTAGGTCTTGGGTTGTTGCAGGCTGTTATAGGAATATCTACTTCAGGCTGTATGTTGCAGGGTTTTATAGTGATATCTTGTTCAGGTCATAGTTGGAGATTGTTATAGTGATATCTTGTTTAGGTCTTGGGTTTTTGCAGGCTGTTATAGTAACATCTACTTCAGGCTGTATGTTGCAGGGTTTTATAGTGATATCATATTCGGGGGTGGGTTGAAAAATGTCCCTGGAACACAGTCTTGTCTCTGCGAACATAATTTAACTGGGGAGAAGCTTTGTAATAATTACAAATAAACATCTCTTACAAATAATAAAAGAACTACAATCACCGTGAGAGCCCGAATTTAAATTTAATTTGAGTGATTTTTGTATTTATTAAGTAATTACAGATTAGTTTTCCTTCGCTAATTCACTTGAAGCTGATGCTTGCTGTTTGTTCATCTATAAAAAACTCGATAAAAGATATGTTTCAAAGATACCAAGAGTTGCTCGAAACTGTATAATCAGGAATTTACGCCATGTTTAAGATGGCATGTGACTTTTTTTTGTGTTGTTTTACAATTCATTGGTGGAATTGATATTAATGAGTTTGTATGTTTTGTTGTTTTTTTAATTTAGCATTTCAAGAATTATCCAACATTTTACATAAAAATATAGAATTGCTAATATTTTGCCGAACCAATTACAACACACTGGAACCTTTTCCAATAAATATATATATATATTGAATGTTACTAGTCGTCAGGAATGTTGAGTACTATTTATTGATAGTAGTGACCCTTTAATAATCGTAAAAACAGTGGTCGTAATAAGGGACAACCGGAGGTGCCTACATGCTGAGGTCCGGGTTCCATGCTGGAGTTATGTGTAAGAAACTACATCCCTGTAGCTGTATTACTTCCAGTTACAATGTTATTTATGGTCTTCTACCACTTCGTTTCAAGGCCGAAATAGAATTGCCCTTTTGAACTCCCTACACAGGCACCTAACGAATCGAGGCAACTGTACCCGTCATAGAGTCCTCAGTTCGCCGCTTCCCGTACATCTTTCCAGACGGAAAACAAAAATATGAAGTTCTAGGCCTAAGTGTGACCGTTGCCATGTTTAGATTATCGTACACTCGTCGGCCAGTTCTCTTTTCCCCGACAAACATTCAGACCGGAAATAATGGAGGTCACTTTAATGATAGGCCGACGACTTCAACCATAACACTAACGCCATCTATACGGCGCCATTATGTCAATGGGAAGGGTAATAGCAGACTGAATGACCAAAGTTACATACATATCAGTGTATGTGAAAGTTTGTAAGCCATATTCAACTGTAACGCCTGTACTTCGTTATGTCACGATGATGAGTCATGCAAGTGACCTTCATGATTTACTTAGGTAGTCGATAATACGAATTTAGTACAAACTGTTTAACATTGTATCAATCTTGATATTTTTGTTTTTGAATCAGTATTGATTATTTGACTAGCTTAAATAAAATAAACGGTTTTCAAAAATAGAAAACTAAAGTGTAAGAAACTATAAACTTTAAATGTTCGTGTCTTTAAGAAAGCCTGAAAATTGAGACCATTTCTTCTCTGTGATGTATAACTCGAAGCCTTACATCAAACCAGCGATATGCGCTATATTGTTTTACACAAAGTAATCGCAAAAACTTTGAATTTTTGATCCAACAGTTTGTTTTGAACTATTGAATTATTTTTGATTTAAAAATTTGGTATGTTGTAGCAGTAGTTTAGCAGATACATTCCTCAAGAAAAGTGGGATAAATAAATCAGCCAAATGCTACAGCTTTTATTATGTAAAGTGCCTTGAGTTCACAAAACCGAATCCTACGAAATTCTGTACTGAGATGACCTTTACTAATACATGTCACTTACAACAATAGCTTTTCTTTGCGTTTTGCCTGATGTAACCTGGTGGTCAGGGCGCTCGACTCGCAATGTGCAAGTCGCAGTGTCGATATCCCTTACCGAACATGCACGCCCATTCAGCCGTGGGGTTGTTATAACGTCAACTCCACTATCCGTTAGTAAAAGAGTAACCCAGGAGTTGGCGGTGAGTGGTGTTGACTAGCTGCCTTCCCTGTAGTTTATCATTGCTAAGTTAGGGACGGCTAGCGCAGATAGCACTCAAATAGCTTTGCGCGAAATTCATAACAAACCAAACTCAACAAACACACTTTCGCGTATATGTGCATAACGCCTCCCAGTGGCAGAGCGACATGTATGCGGACTTATAACGCTAGAAACCGGGCTTCGATACCTGTGGTGGGCAAAGCACAGATAGCCCATCTCGTAGCTTCGTGCTTAACTTCAAACAACTATATGTGCACAAACAACTATTAACTGTTATATTGATTATTTATAATTAACATTAACAGTTTTAACGTGATATAATACAGTACTTTAATACTAAGATTATTTCTTTCTAAAAGATTATAATTAATATTCAAATGTATATTAGAGACAATGTTTGACACAGAAGTTAAAGTTTTCGTAAGTAATCCAACAGTTACGTTTTAAGAACTATGAACCTGAAACGGACTTTTGTAAAATTCAGGTCATACAAATTCTACACCACTTTAGAAGTCACAAATTCAACTTAATACATTTTAGCATACTTGACATTTATAAGGAATTACCAACTTTCTGAGTTAAGGTTTTTGCCTGATAAATTCTGAATTTTAGTCATTCATATCCCATTTTTTTTCCAAAATTGTTTACTAAAAGTAATTGAAGTTATATGTTTCTTTTTAATTTATAAAGTGAGCTGCGAAATGTGATGAATGCCGATAAATAAATAACGCAGCCATTATTTCAACGATGATATAAATGCTTGGATTAAATGTGTTATAGCGATTTCTGTTATTTGATGAGTTGTTTTTGATTATTCGGTCCACTTCATGAAAATGATTTATTTCTTCGACTAAACGTTTTACTATTTACTCGGTTTCACGAACTAAGTTTTAC